TTCCAGAACCACACACACAAAAAGAAACTTTGCACACATGCTTAGGCAAACTGAATAGTTGATGATGCTTTTTAGTCTTATAATATAGGAGTATCTCACAGACTCAGAAATGGAATTTTCTACAACTTTCTGGATAGAAGAATACTATGTAAGTATTTCAAAGCTTAATTTACTTTAGTCTAGAATATCAAGGACATTCAGAAGTAGTTCATAATACAATTTTCCACATTCAGTGTCCTGTTGAAATACTATTTAAAGAAGCAATAATAAATTTTATTTAGTAATCCTATTTTCCCATCTGCTATCTCAAAATAGGGGAGGGGGAAGAAATCAGGTATCGTTTCATTTTGGGCTAGGACAGCAGCCTCCTAAGAGTTGAAGAACATATTTACCTCTGCTTTGATCATGGGCTTCTCACACCTACATCAATATAATATGATGCCCCAAAGGCATAGCAAGGGACCATTCTCTGGCTAAAAGGCCTCCACAAGGAAGTGATGCCTGCCATCATGGTCAATTCTGAGGCATCCCATAACTGTGCCAGATGCAGACTAAAAAAGGTTTCAATCTGAAGTTTAGACCTTTTTTTTGCCCCAACATTTCAATGCAGAATTTTTTATATTCCTAACCTTTAAAGTTCTTGGGATTTCTTCCTACCATTACATTGTCCCTGAACAAAGAAGGCTCATTGAGAGATCGGGGGAGGCACACCTAGGGGAAGGAGGCTGATGAGGAATAGCTGACAGGGGACAAGGAAGCAATGGCTGACCCAGTGTGTGGCTATGAAGACAGAGTGGATGTACTGGGGATGTACCTCAGTAGTAGAGCACTTGCCTAGCATGTGTGAGGCCCTTGGCTCAAATACCAATATTGTTGGGAAAAAAATTGTCATGCTTAGTAATTTTTAGGATTTTAGGATTCCTAAATGCCTTTAAGCCATTGAGTAATAGTTTTCACTCTAAATACTTTCAGTATCTTGTAATATTTTCCACTTTGTTAGGCATTTCACTAAGAGCTACAATGCAAGTAGAAGCAAGTTATAGAAAGGGCCATGCCTGTTCAGAAAAGAAGCAACTCCTCCATCCTTCAACAAAGCAAGCCTATCATAAAAGAGGACACCTGAAAAGCTGGCTGGGATCACTGTAATGCATAGTTTGGATACTTTTTAGCTCTATTCTTTGTATTTACCTAAAAGGCATGTAAAAAGTGATTTTTTAAAACATGTGCTTATGCTTCTGAGTCACCAGAGAAGACAAACTATTGTAATTAACCTGAAAGAGGAAGATCTTGCAGGTTTCAGAAAGAACGGGAATGTTCTTTATCCTTTTCAGTGAAAATCTGAGACTTTCTCAGTAATTCTTAAGAACTGTTAGTACTCAGGAGGTGGGGCATGACCTAGTTTTCAAAATGATAGATGCAGTATGGCATGTTGTTCTTTTGGATGAAGACAACATAATTTAAAAACCAATCATTCATGCCGGGGATTTAGCTCAGCGGCATAGCATCTGCCTGACAGGCGTGAGGTCCTGAGTTTGATCCCTGTACCAAACCAAACAAAACAAAACAAAAAAACAATCACTCAAAATGATTAGGAATTTCCACTTTAATGATTTGAGACATAATCAACAGATTGATCTAAAATGCTATTTTAGGAGACTTCACTTGACCTAAATCCATTCATTTTGCAATTATTAGGCATCTACTATGTACTAGGCACTGTGTCAAGCACTGGGGATGCAACCGTGAACCCTGTTGTCATGCAATTCACATTCTCCTGGGATGAGACATGTAATAAACAAACAAAAAGAAATATATGTCTAAGAAAAAATGAAAAAAGATAAGAAAATAGACAATGACAGGGATGCTATTTTATGAAGATAGTAATAATGAGGATAGTAAACCTAGGAGATGCTTGAGCACTTATTCTTGTGACAACATGAAGGAATAACCAATACTCAGAATAGCAAGCACAAAGTTCTTGAAGTAGAAACCTGCTTGGCTTGTTTGAAGAACATCAAGAAAGCCAACATGGCAGGAATAGAGTGAGGGAGTGGAAGAGTAGTAGTCAATGACATATTGTACTTGCAGAAGTTACCACTTGTCCAGAGCCTTATAGCCAAGGAAAAGACTGTGGATTTGAACTATGTCTGGAAGCAACCTCAGGGGAGGCTTCTGAGCAGGGAAGCAACCTGAAGTGACTTATATGAAGGATCATCTGGTTGCTCTATACACAACAGACAGTAAGTAGCCAAGTGGAGTAGCCCATTAAGAGAGTACCACACTGATCTAGGCAAGAGAAGGTGGGAACTTGAACTAGAGTCATAGCAGTAGAGGTGCTGGGAAGTATTCAGAGATATTTTGAACGCATAGCTAACATGACCTGCTCAAGGAATGGATTTGGTGCGCGAAAGAAAGAGAGGTGGAAGGATTATTCCAAGTATTTTATTTTTAGCCTGAGCATCTCAAAGAAAAAGGCTGTCATTTACTGAACGATGTGCTATAGAACGAGCATATTTAAGGGCAAGTGTGAGTAGTGTGTATGTATCTGGAAGAATTGCAAATTCAGTTTTGAATTTAAGGAGCCTATTAGATATCCAAGTGCCTAGAATAGTGCCTGCAACATAGTACAGAATGTATCCCCAGTACCAAAAAAAAAATTAATAATAAGGCCAGAGATTTAGCACAGTGGTTCTGCCACCTGCCTCAAAAGCACAAGGATCCAAGTTCAATCCCTGGTACCAAAAAAAAAATTAATAATATAGAGTAAGCCAAATGGATAAAAAAAAACCCAAGTTTATCTATTATGAACTTCTCTGTACATCTGTATTTGCATTTATGTTTTGCAACCATGATGATTAATCAGAATTTTCTACTTTTCTACTGGATGAAATACCAGAGATCATTCAATTCACATACTCTGCAAAACAGAGCTAGAGATAAGGGACTAGAGATCAAGGTCAAACACCACATTTATGGTGCAGCTAATACTGACATCAGGCTTTCTGATCCTCAGTTCACTGTTTCACAGTACACCAATCTCTTCTTGAGCCACAGAATATCAGTGCTAACTTTGTAATGTTGAGTGAACTATTCTTTTCAAGGAATATATTTGAAGGGTTTTCCTTATAGAAACTGGCTAGTTGGAATTAATTTCTCATGCCATAAAATGCAAGTGAAAACATATATGTGAAGTAGTTATGTTGTTTAATCTTCTAGGCAACAAGTTTAGATACGTTAGAAACAGAAATGACATTTGGATGTGCACTGCATAGATAATATATATTACCTCATAATTATTGCATGTTAGCAAAACAAAGAATCTTTTACTAGGTCTGCATAACTAGAAAAATACTAGATACCAAATTTTAATATACTGGTTTTTTCTATGAATAAACATCTGGTTCTTATCCAGTCATAACTTGCATTCTATTTAACTTTCAACAAACTAGGTATTGAATGTCCACTGGGTCAGATACAGTACTAGGCATAGCAAGCAAAAATGAATGGGGCCAGGGATTTAGCTCAGTGGTTCCGGCGCTTGCCTCGAAAGCGCAACGTGCCGAGTTCCACCCCCGGTATCAAAAAAATAAAAATAAAAAAATAAAAAACGAACGGTTCCTTTTAATTTGACACAAACAAAACTAAATGAAAGAGTTCCTAGAAAAAATTCATTTTTTAAGAAAGTGCAAACATCTGTAGAAAACTATTGATCATATAACGCCAGAGTAACAAGAATAACTAGTTCTTTGCACAGTTGTTCGGCAGAAGTTTCCTGGATGGATGAGCGTAGAAAAGGAATCAGATCTGACAGATGGGATATTCTAGACAAGGAAAATACAGTGCAGAAAGGAGCAAAAGTAGAAGTAAATAAGTCCTGTGGTAAGAATCCACACCCAGGTGTAATAGGACTGGATTGTTGTGTAAGGGTGGAGTAGGCAATGGATGAAAGCAGCAAAAACCCAAACCAAGGAGTTCACGGTTGAATTCTGAAGGGTGGAGAACGTGACTGAAACAAAATATCTAGGTTTGCTTTTGCTGCCAGTACACATTACAAATGGGCACCACGAAGATAGATTTTTGCATTCATACACCTTCAGCATTTTTCATTATCCGTCAATATGTTTAAGTCCTTTTAGTCCACAACTTTTAAAAAAGTAAAGAAAGACACACTATGAAAAAGTTTTTCCGTAGAAAATAATCCAATACTTAAGATTGTAAGCACTTAAGGTTGAAAGGCAAGGAGAGAGAAGTGGTTTTCTATGCCCCACTTCTTTGCCACTGTGCAGTAAACTTTAAGTCAGAAAAACTGTTTTAACCGATGAGATAATGCCCTTAAAGTGCTTAGCACAGTGTCTGGCCAGTAGTAAGTAAGTCATGGTTATTATTTTGATCTTAGATCTCTCTTAACCGTTTGAGATTCGGGCTTATTTTCAGGGGAAGAAACGGGCCACAGACGGGGCTCTGGGGCTCTGCCAGCCATAGCAATCCCCGATTTCAAGAAAACACCAACTAAATACAGTACTTGCTGAAGAGCAGGCGCGTCCACCCACAACCAGACCTGGGGGCAGGCCAGGCCATGTTTGGGGCTGAAGAACACGCGACACGCCCGACATTTAACACCTACTGGCAGGGCTGAGCTGGAGTCGGTTCTCAATCCCAGCCCCGCCCGCCGTGACGCCAAACTCTGCGCTCGGGGCGGCGGCGGCGAAGGCGGGAGTGGCTTCCCCCCAGCGGGTCGGCCGGGCCCCACCTCCGCCTGGGGCTCCCTCCCCGCCCCTTCCGGCTCAAACCCCGCCCCTAGTCCTCGGCCCCGCCCCTCCCCGCCCACACCCCCTGCCGCGAGCTCGGCGCTTGGTCCTGTCAGCGGCTGCGGGCTGCCACATCCACCCCGACGCTGTGAGGTCACGGACGGGGTCGGTCCGCGGGGGGCGGAGGGACGGAGGGAAGATGGCGGCAGTGGCCGGATGTTGGTGCCGCCTCCCCCAATCCCGGAGCCGGCGCAGATGAGGCGGCTCGGCTGGGGCCAGCGGCGCTTCGGAACCCGAGCTGTGGGGACCCTGGCGGTGGGGCCTGGCCCTGCTCTATGACGGCGCCTCGGCTAGAGTGAGCGGCGGCGGCGACGACGCCTCTTTCGTCCGGCTCTTTCCCTGTCGCTGCGAGTCCGAGCCGCCAGCGGGCGGCGAGGCCGGGATGGAGGACGTTAACTCCAACGTGAACGCGGACCAGGAGGTGCGCAAGCTGCAGGAGCTGGTGAAGAAGCTGGAGAAGCAGAACGAGCAGCTGAGGAGCCGCTCGGGAGCCGTGCAGGGCTCAGGCTCCCTCGGGCCCGGCAGCCCGGTGCGGGCCGGCGTGTCCACCCCCTCGTCTGGGGCTGCGTCCCCGCGGGGCTTCCCCTTGGGCCTCAGCGCCAAGGCGGGCGGCGGGGCCGCGTCTGGCCCGAGGCGGACGAGTAGCGAGGAGCTGCGGGACGCCACCTCCTTGCTGGCGGCGGGCGAGGGCGGCTTGCTGGACGAGGTGGAGCCGCTGCGCCCCGACGAGCTGGAGCGCCTGTCAGGCTGGGAGGAGGAGGAGGAGAGCTGGTGAGCGCGGGGCGCCTGGCCGGGCTGGGCGGGGGCGTGGATGGGCCGGGCCGGGCGCGGGGGAGCGCCTTGCGAGGATCCCCCCTGTAGGACGGCGGGCTTTTGTGTAGCAGGATCGGCCCTCTGGAGGGGACTTGTGGATTTCTTGCTTTGGCCCCAAAAAGCTGAGCTGGAATTGGAGGTTCGAGGCGTGCGTAAAGATAGGGGGTGTAGCTAGTTTTCTTCGGGGTCGGGGACCCTCTGGGTGAGGGACTCGCTTGGTATCTGTGGGTTGGTACAGCTTGAGGTCTGGATCCTCGGAGGAGTCAGAGATGGGAAACTGCTTTGTAGGAAGTGATCCTGCTTTGTGTGAAATACTGGCTTTCGGAAGGTGGCCTGGGCATTTTGGATGTCGCGGAGGGGTCTGCTTGATGAGGTATCACTGGGTGCAGGGTGGGGGTGGGGGCATTCAAGAGTTGTCCGTGCAGCGGTCAGTGTTTGGGGCCAGAACAAGATGGGTGTATTTCTGGTGGGGATGGGGAGTCTGTGTGAATCAGCACTACCCTTTGGGTAAGGGGTGAAGCTTGCTTTGTGTGAAGAGGGCAGAGAATACTGGTGCTTTGTGTGCAGAGCCATGGGTGGAACTAGAACCCTAGTTCATATTTTTTTAAAACACGTATTGGATCAGGCGTTTTTCGGAGCTTTGGAGCTATAGTTATCAAAACCATCTTTTATTTGCCTGTCATCCTTCGGGACAGAGAAAAAGAGCCCTATTTAAAAACCTACCAAAGCTGTATTGAAATAAACCACTTCTTGATAAAATTGTGACCCACATCTTACTACAATTTTCATAAATAAAAGGGGCATGCGAGGCCTTTTCCCTGTATTGAGACTTAAAGATGTCTGTGTGAAATTCTCATTCTCCTAATTCATCCTTTTTAAAGTTTTAATATTAGCTAAAATGTTTCTGTTCGTTGTTGGAACAGAAACTTGTAGTGAAGTGAAAATTCTTCATAGACTGTTATTGCGGGGCTGGAACTTTGAAGTTCTGAGCTTTGCCTGGATTCAGACCTTTCCTTTGCCACTTATATTACGCTTCACTTTTTTTCTTTATTTCATAGAGAAAATTATAGTTCTTACCTCTATAAAGTTGTACAGATTGAAATAATATGTGTCTACTTTTAGCATGGAGTATGGCATATAGTACATTCTCCAAAACTGGCTGCTGTTACCCATAAAGCCTAGTTGTTTAAATCAAGACATACTTAGTGAGCTCTCACATACTGCCATAGAAGTTATTTAAGTGTTGATGCCCATTCACAAGGCAGTTGTGTCATGTTAAGAGCTAAGTTATATGCAGTTAAATAAGGTAGGATATATACAGTGAATTGCTGGAAGAGTGATAGAACTAACTAAGTACTGACAGTGCTCAGAAACTGGGAAGAAAATAATGGTCCAAATAGTAGGGACAAACTAAGGAGGTGGCTTTGGAGTCTGGGAGTGGAGAAAAGTGGGTGGAACATTTTAGGCTCTGACAACTACAAGAAGTATTTGTAACTCCTAGTTAGGAAGGTGTGAATGACAGAAGTACTGGTGAATGAATATATGATGTCAGGCTTTTATTTTATTGCCAAGTGATAACTAAGTATTATTAGAGCTATAGTAGTGACAGTTTTTCATATAAGTGTGAAATCACGTCCTCCCAAAGGAATTCTGGGTATGTGTGCACTTTAAAAGATCCCAGAATCATCCACATACCCACATGTGCATCTTCCAAGGGCTGATGGTAATGACACTCATAATAATGAAGATTAGCTTCACTCATCAGCCCATTTTAGATCATATATTGTTAGAACACATTGACCACACTTGAAGCTAATTAAATCTTTGGCTTCTTTAGTTTCTGAGCATATTTGTTCAGGTAAACCAAGTCTTAGATGTTCTGGTCAGGAGTTTCTTTTGACCAAATGGTTGCTGCTTACTACTCTGATCTGGCTTTATATCTTAATACTATAGATGTCCTGTGCTTTTTCTGAAAATATTTGTGTGAATTAAAAGTTGGATAAATCATATTTAAAGCTTTTTGGAGAGAGTAGGTATCTGTGGCAGATTTCGTGAATCAAGAATTTTTTCTTTCTTAGCAAGCCAAAAATCTTTTATGATTTGTACCCATTATATCTCTTCTTCATCCAAAGGAATAGTTTCCCCCAAAATGTAGGTACCACAAAATGCTAGTCCAGAAGTGTCCAGTAGATACCATCACAAAAAATAATTGGATTCTAGGGTCAAATAAATGTGGGGGAAATGGTTTAACAAAATTACAGATTTCTTTATTTCCGGACTTGGAGATGTGAATGTGTACTGAACATAATAAATCTCTTAAGAATTATGGATTGTTTCCTGAACTTATTTGAGCTCCCAAGGAACTCTAGTTTAGATCCTAGAGAACACACTTAAGCAATAGTGGTCTACAGCTTTGACTTTCTTACCCCGGGTGTAGGGGGTAGGTTCATAAAGTGAACATATTTTACATCATAAGCTAGTACACACATGTGTGGGTAACTGAAACAGAAGTTTTACAAACTTCTGGACACTATTAATGATACACTCTAATGTTTTCTATTTTATTCTGTTTCATTAGGGGAAAAAAATGCCAGTTACCACTCACTAAGCTAATTTTGTGACCCGTTAATGTAGGGTAGCTCTTGCTTTGAAAAATACTGTTCCAGAATCATTCAGCAAAGTCTAGGGAAGGGAGCTGACGTTGTGTGTCAGGTTATACCAGGTAGCCTATAAAGATTTGCTTTTAATTTTTATATATTTATAAGGTAGCTTTCATTTCATAGATAAGGAAACTTAATATCTCTCCTTGAATCAAGTAACACACAGCAGGTGATGGAGCCAAGATGAGAATCCAGGTTTTTGGGGGTTTTTTTTCTGGTACCGGGGATCGAACTCGGGTCCTTGGTGCTTTCGAGGCAAGCAGCGGAACCACTGAGCTAAATCCCTGGCCGAGAATCCAGGTTTTTTATATCAAAGTTTATACTATTCCCACCCAGTTTACTTTTTTCAAATATAATACCTTTTCCACATGAATGACCCCTTTATTGTTTTTTACAGGGCTGTACCATTGAGCTAAATCCCCAGTTCATGAGTAACCCCTTTAAATAATGGAAGACTACTGTCATGTCCTTGCCGAACCTTTCTTTCTACATATTGTTCCTCAGCATAAATAATCCCAGTTTGCTTAATTTTTTTGATAATGGAATTCTACCATGGTTATTTTTATAATTAGCTCTTGCTGCTTGCCTTAGTTACTTTTCTTGTTGTTGAGACAAAATGCCCAACACCAAAGTTAAAGGAGGAAAGATTTATTTTGGCTCATAGAGGTTTCAGTCCATAGTCAGCTGGCTCCAAGGCAGGGAGCCAGCAGTGAAATAGCAAGGTAGCAAGCAGCAAGTGATTGGCAGCAGTCCTCTTACTGTCCCTTATATTCTAACCAGGCTACTCGCCCTTAGGGCAGGTAGCCCTCACACCCAGGGTGGAGCAACCTCAATCCCAGCATCACATCCTTAATCCCAGCTTCACACAACCTAGATCAGTCACCTCCGAAAAGCCCCACCAGTGACAGCATGAGGATTTGGGGGGACATCTAGACACAAGCCATAACATTACTCATTGTCCTTATACATATCTAGAATTGTACTCAGCATTTTAGGTACTCGACCAGAATGTGGTGGGTATACCTTGCTGAGATAGATGCTATGATTTTTTTAAAACCCAGTATTATTTTGAATAAAAATAGCTAAATTCTATTTTTATATATTTTAAAACTGTTAACCATTAACAATTTTAACTTGTTACTTAATATGAGCCAGTAGCATCAACTTTTCCCTTACATGGGCTGTGGAATTAAGTCTTCCTAACCCTATTTTTCTGAAATGAATTTTTAAGCTTAAATATCAAGCTTTCAAATTTTGTTAATCTTGATTTAGGCATTTTTCTGATTTGGAGATTGTTTTCGTAATTGGTAGGTAGATCCACTAGGTCTTCATTCAAATTGTTGACAAAAAATAGTAAAATGACAGAATAAATTACTCTGAAGTGTGCAGTTCAACTAGACTCCCTTCAAGTTAACACCAATCTATTAATGTGGTTTGTAGTTCAATAACTATTAGTTCCACCTATTATTGGCAGGCCAATGTGATGTTTTGTTTGCATGGATATCATGAAAGATTTTGCCAAATGCCTTCCTATGATTAAATTATAATGTGCCTATAGTTTTCTTATCTGAAATGAAGTAAACCTATTAAAATAGAAATTGCAGTTAATTTGGTTCAACTTGTTCATGGTAAGTTCTGGCTTTTATGGAATCACTTTTTTTTAAACTTCACAAGCATTGAGTTTAACTCAATTTTGGGTTTTTCAGTGACTCAATTTTCTGTTCTGAATTTCTAGACACTGTTTATTTTTCTTTTTAGAAATTATCATATTTTCTCTGATCTGAGCTTTTTAACCATGCCCTTTATCTTAGTTACTTTTCTCATTGCTGAGACAAAATACCTGACAAAGTTAAAGGGTTTATTTTGGCTCACAATTTGTAGAGGTTTCAGTCCATATGATTATCAGTTGTCTCCAAGGCAGAGTGGCATGGCAGAGGGGTGTCACAGAGGAAAAAGTTAATGGCGGGCAGAAGGCAGCAAAAGCAGCAAGCAGCAACAACAGCAGCCCTCTTTTGTCTCTTATATTCTATCTGGGCTATTAGGGCAGGTAGCCCTCACAGCCAGGGTGGAGCACACTTAGGCCTATCAATGCACCATGAATCAATCCTAGCATTACATCCTTAATCCCAGCATCACACACTACATCCAGCCACCTCTGAAAAGCTCCATCTTTGACCACAGGAGGCTTTGAGATACAACCCTATATCTTGTTCTCCATATCTTTTTCCCCCTACTAGTGCTGGAGATCGAACCCAGGGTTTTGCACATACTAGGCAATCACTGTAGTACTGTGCTATA